CCGACAGATAGGCAATAATTTGCCGGGTCATGACCTTTTTACCGTTACAGCTCGTATCGTTGGCCGGGAAACAATAAGAAAGAAAATTGCAAATGGCCGAAGGATAGATTTTCCAAGCAAAGCACGTTGCCAAACTTTTCCAATGTTTCCTCGAGGGTTGGAGAGCCAAGGGGTAGCGAATGCTCGGGCAGTGGGTATAAGGGAGCTTTTGGTTACCGAGGGTGAACAAAGAAAATTCATCTTATCAAGAGTCCGACGCGTCAAATTTTTCCAGCCTTATCCTAGATACATCCTTTACACGTCGATACTCACATGGACGACATTTGTAGGCGACCTCGATGTACTTGGGTTGGCCTGGACAAGGGTCACCCTGGAAGGTCTTCGGGCTGGTGTTGAACTTGCACTGCCTCTTCTTCTGGCAGACCTCCACCACCGTCTGCAACAGTGAGTACTAACGCGTCATTCAGACCACCTGCTCACTTTAGGGTCCATTTCTATGCAACTTTTTGTGGATTGGCAGTAGGACCGAGGATCAGTTTTCAATGTCGACTGTCCATTTCTTCGGCTGATTCTCACTTCTTTAAACTGTCTAATCGTCTGCCGATTAATATACCGAGGAACGGGAGGGGCAGGAGGGGAGCAACGCTGATTGGGAAGTTCCTCAGGCGAGTGAGCTACTACTGGGAATAGCCGGAAATCTGAAACGAACCTTCGGGGAATAATGAAGAAAGTCAAAGGACTGGATTGAAGGGAGGCGAAATGGAGAAAAGAGTGAATCATCATTGCCTTCCCTTTACACCTGGGTAATCAATGTAGAATTAATCGACGTTCCAGCCGAGCAACCAATTCGAGAAGATAAGACGTTCGTATAATTTCTTATTAATAATAAATGAATATTTAGCTACGGGTACTTTGGAATGACTTTTATCGTCCATAAGCTTTGTCACTTCTGTTCCTTATCGGGGCACGTAAGGAAAAAAAGGCTATTGTCACTGGTCGCTATGCCCAGTTCGCAGGCAGTAAGTTAGAAATGAAGAAGAAAAGGAATTTTGATATTTTTCGTGTATTTGAAAATCAAAATTGCATTTGCGAAATTTACTCGTAATTTTGATACTCGCTTGGAGCAGAGATTCAAGCCTCGTGAACAGCTACTCTGCAGACGTACGTGGTCCATCGGAGCCAATGCTGGTCGAGCGACGCTTGCGGATAACCCTGTGGACCAGCTTGTGGAATTTCTGTGATTATTCAGAATGAGATTCCCTTGGAATCACCGCTCGAACGGGTCCACGACTCATCCCCTGCTCGAAGACGCAGATAGCTCATCCCTCAACCGACACACATTCGATTTCGTCTATGCAACTTTGAAAGAATCGGAATTGCCCAACTTTTTTTTTTTTTTTCAAAGTACCAAAACAAATGACTGATAATATTTTCTGCTATTTTGAAACTGAAAAAGTTTTACGTCGGTTGGAGATAATTCAACGGGAACAGGTTGGGCAACTTCGAATTAGTCAATTGTCAATTTTCCAAATACGAGAGGAAACTTTGAGGAATAACCCGATGGATCTCAAGAGGAGGAACTTTGCCGATTTTTATGGAGTTTACAAAATGGGCCATTTTCTTGAAAAATTTCGTAAATCGAATTGACACTCGTGAACCTTGACCCATTCGACGCGAGAACGAGGGAAAAAGATTTATTCGGTTGAGCGTCGAATTATGCGAATTTGGGATTTCGCGGCTGAGGTTACAAACTCAAACAGAAAAGACAGATGAGAAACGCAAGTATTTTCGCGACAAAATTTTAATGACGTCAAATATACAGGGGTAGACAGATGTATAGGCCTGAGTAAATATTTGAGAAAGACGCCAAGCGTCGACGGTCTTAATGATAAAATAACAGGGTGTACGAGTGTACGAGGAGTGAATGGAGCCAGTGGTCCAGCGTCTTTCATCGGATCATCATCGAAATGAGAAACCTTCCAAAAGTTGGTACAGGCTTACAGCCCTTTCGGTTTGCGAAACCTCGATTGGCCAGTCCCACTGGGAGTCCCGAGAAACCTGGAATTTGGCGTATTGCGAATTTACAAGATAAACAGTGAACGAGTGAAGGTCTTCCCTCTTGCTATACATGGAATACTTCAACCTTTTCTCTGCTTTTCTCAAATCCCTTGTCAATTACACAGTTTGAGTTTCAAAAGGATTTTGCAGGGACAGCAAATCTCCAAAATGTTAACATAGCTAAAATTTCACGAGATAATTTATTTGGTCCTTTTACATAACGAATCCCGTCTGTAGGTTAATTTTTTTTATTTTACACGAATTTTTATTTCATTAAATTCCCTGCCAATGCGGTACTACAGAATTTTAGTAATTTTCCGTGGAGTTTGCAAATTTCAAATATCCCGGCAATGCTAGAGTGACGTGTCCTCGAAAAAAAAAAAACCCAATGAAAGAAAAACGCATAGAAATAAATTCGCGGGAATAAATTGACGTTGCTCCTTCGCCGCGAATATAGTCGAAGTATCTATTGCTGTACCGAGCGGCATGAATTTCAAATACGAAAAGACTTACGTGTTTCAATAAAACCTAAAGCAATCGAAAATTCCTTCGTATCATGTTCACTTGTGTGAAATACAAACTACGATCGTACTGCCGGGCAGTAGGTATTTTAAAAGGAAAAAAAAGAAACCACGCGGAATGCCATACGATATTTTGTCCGAGTGAAAAATTTAACTTATAAAAAGGTTCGATATCGAAATAATTCAATGCCGATATTTCGTTCGAATTTTTCCAAAAAAAATTTACATTTATTATGATTTACGAAATTCGCGAATTTGACGAAAAATCATTTTGAAAATCGTCACGTTTTTTTTTTCTTTTTTTTTTTTAAATTAACAGCACTGCAGTTGCCAGGCGCAAATTACGTTCCTAATAACCATGGGTTGGTGTAGGTACGAGACATGACGTCACTTCCGTCAAGTTACGTAAGTCCACCTAATCCCCGATGCCATTGATCGTTGGATCACTTTAAATTTGACCGTTTTGATCCAAGGAGAAGATTATCTCCGTAATGGAGAATTTGCATTCGATCCTATCAGACCGAACGATGCTTGTACTTTGCTTGTTGTTCTCGCAACTTTAGAGACTGCGGCTGCTCTTTCATTTTTCTTTATTTTAACCTGTCGCTTTGTTGCTTCGCTTTTCTTCCCTTCGTACCTCAAAGTGCGAACGTATACCCTTTGAAAAGAAGATTCCGTCGGTAAGAAGATTTCCTATACAAGAAGACGAAATAATAACGCTGTATTCGATTTACGTGAAAGCCAGCCTGCTCTAATGGAGATAAAGTACTTTGCGAGAGTAGTCACTTGACAATATCCACAGTTATCGTTACGTAAGCGAGCACAGCGCCCTTTTATCCTATTTCCAAAAACCTCAGCTGCTGACCTTCTTTCTCCATTTCCAAAATTCCTTCTACCTCCAGTCCGACAGTAATCAGATCAACAAACTAAAAAAATTGATTTAACATTGAAAAAAAGGTCAAAACAGAAGTTCACACACAATTAAGGCACTAATAAAAATTTTGTCAAAAAATTTTCACGTAAAACAAATTTTTGGTTTTTTTTTTCTTTGAAAAAAAATAGTACAAGAATATAAATAAGAATCCCAGACAACAATTACGCAAGCAATATTAGCGGATAACACTTATCTCTCTCGTTATATCTTTTGTAGCACGTACCCTCGAGGTAAGATCATCTAACCCTGTCAGTGTGACTATAACGGGTGGGCACATTGCTGATAAGGGAATAAGGGTAAATGTACGATACAAGAGAGGTGCCAAGGGATAAGGACTGTTGTGAGTTAAAAAGGCAACTAAAAAAAAAAAATAAAGGAATCACTGAATTTTTGCAAGCACTGGAAGCACAGAGGATCACACAGCCACGTTAGCCCTTTCACGAGCACCGAAACGTGAAATATGAAATCAATAAAGAAAGTGGGGCTGCCTCCTCGACGGATGCTCCGACATTCCTATTGTGGCAAACAGCTAACATATTACGGGAAAGAAAGCAAAATGCGGAAGAGTATTTTCTAATTTTCAAAAGCTCCGTTGAAAAATACCTGCCCGGTATACCGATGGACAAAACTATACATTGTTCGTGGCCCGGATACATTCCGAAGCAAAAATATTGACTCGACGTCATACCCAACTCCCACCTGCACTTAATCATACGACATTCGGACAGTATCGAGTGAAAATAATTGTTCTACCTTGCACCGACTGTACATGGCTACAGAAACAGTCTCTGGCAATTGACCTTAAGGAAGATCCTCCGTGTCTCGGAATGTCTTTATCGTGGAAGGAGAAGGCCGGGGAAAAGGGGAAGCTTGTATTACCAAGCATACCAATAGTTTATTGAAGGATTCTGGACAAAGGTAAGATACCGACATTCCGCGGTAGTTCAATCAGGCACGGGAATAGTTTTCCTCTACGTGTGTACCTCTCGTAAGCTTGTTTTTGATTGAAAAGAAAATTCCAAGGTAATTAAAAAAATTTTGAAAAATTTTATAAAATTCGTACCGGGGTTAGACGTACGAGATGAAGTATGTAGATTAGGGTATGCCGGAGACAAAAAAAGGTGAAATATAGCATAACAAAGAAATAAAGGAGGATCGAAGAAGCTGAGATGATAATTCAGGGCAGTTTGAGCTGAATTTGACCGCGACGATAAATCGCAGTAAAAGCGAGTCGCCATAGCGGTAAAAAGTTCCTCCGACGAATAATGGGACCCGACCCGAAAAGTCTCCTGAGCGTGTCTGGAGCCTAGAGAGGCAAAGAAATTTCAAGCTCGTTTTGTGGGAATGAGGGGAAAAAAGAAGTACGGGTGAACCTTTCGAAAATGGTATGGTGCGATTTCTGAGAATCGTGGAGAAATTTATGAGATAAAAATATTTTTCGATTAGTTTTGCCCTCTGCCCTTTGACTTTTTACTTTCTCTTCCTCCCTCTTCGCCCTACGGTACACTTGACTACTCGGAGAGAAAGTTCTGAAGGAGAATGTAATCCCTGGCTAATTTCTTGGAGCACCTCCGATTTGGCAGTGGTACCAACTGCTGTGGATTAATTGATGAAATTAATCATTTCTCAAATACTCCGTGAATTTTAAATTCGACGAACGACGATACGACGAATCGCGAAATTAACAAAAGAAAATAATCAAAGCAACTTTTAATCCGTATATTGTACACGGTCACTCGCGTGGAAAATTTTTGGTGCTGTTATCTCAAATTTATAAGGGTTGAAATCCACATGGGTTTTCTTGGGACTCCACCGAGGATTCTCTGTCTCGATCCCCGTTCGATTCAATTGATAGCAGGGGCAACAAAGGAAAAACTTTTCTTTTTCGAATATCGAAAACGAGAATTTGAACAATTCTGAAACGATCCTATACCTATATATATCTACTGGCAAAGATTTCCTGGTGAAAACAAGTGTCGAGACTATCAGGACGATCGATCCTATAGATCTATACGATCCAACTACACTATAAAGATAGGATACAATATGTTCACCGATAACCTAACAAAGATAGCATCCCCATCTAGTTCAGCTCCGGTATCGCCGAACATAACAGTACCAACATCGAAAAAAGGAATTTCGAAAATCACAGTCGTCATTAAAACAGTGATAAGAATTTTACGGAGAAATTGACTTGAGCGCACCCAACTGATACGTACCTGCAATGCATTTGGCCAAAAGCAAGTGCGATTCGCCTGTTTCTCGTCGAGGGTTGGATACGGCGTGGCGCATTTTCCAGCACTGGCTGCATCCGCCCTTCCGTAACGGGCGACAGTCACGGAGATAGTCGTACCAAGCGGACACTTCAGCGTCATTGTCTCCTCGTCGCAAGCAGCCCGCTGATAAGTCTTCAAAGTGCCTGATAAAAGGGCTGTATCAATTAGCCAGGACCATGTCGGATGGATACGATAAAGCAAGAGTCAAGAATTCCGTTACGTAGGAGGAAAATAAATGGAAAAAAAAAAAAAAAAAAAAAATAGAGTAGGTCAATGCAGCATAAAGTTTTATGAGTATGCGAAAGATAGCAAAGTGCGAATAACCATGTTAAATGATAACGAGAAAGAAGGCGTGATAAGGGACATAATGAAAGTGCATAGATGAGGCGATATAACGTTTAGTGTTGCATTGGACATCGTTAAATAAGAAAGTTATACCGTCACCAGTTATTGTTAATGTTACCGTCACCATTACCATCACCAGCACCGTCGGCGTTGAAACAAGGTCGTAATTGTTAACATCGGCCAGAGGAAGACGGAGAGTCGTCGTTCCGTGATAATGACATGAAAAATAAAAGTGCAAGATAACGTTAGCATGGACCGTAGTGAAGTATCATGAAGTTCTTGTTAAACTGTTACAATTGACAATATTTCCAGTTATTTAAATAGTAGCGGATTATCTGTACGAGATACTCGAGGGACGCCACGTGTTATCTTTATCGGTGAATTTTCAATTTCAATGACGCAATCTGTACTTCAATTCGTTTATATAATCGAGAGAGTACTTTTCTTCGCGTACAATTTTCTCCCGTGTAACGAAGACTTTAGCCAGCTCTCGTAACTCGAGTCGGACGACTCGTGGTAATTCCTTATTGCGCCGCTCCGCCCGTGATAACGAACTCTATTATTTCCGATTGCAATGAAAGACTCGGGAAATACAGATGCGCCGGTCCGGCACGAGTGGAGGAAGATGGGATAAACTTGAATGGAATTAGGTTCCTGCAGTAGGTCACTGAGAGAGTCAAATGCGGATGAGGCTACGGCGGATGGAGTTACGACGAACGCAGTTACGGCGAACGGAGTTACGACGAACGGAGCCACGTTCTGTATCCTAAGAGTATTTTGCGTTTTCAATCGACGAAATTCGCTGTAAACGACTTTGAAAGAGAAGTACAGTTTGGTACAGTGATAAAGTGAAGGTACCGATGTTTGGGCAATTTTTGGATATTCGTGATAAAAAAATTTAAAAATTTTTACTCTGACAACAGGTACAAAATGTACTTATTGGAGCATCTCTTTACTCGACGCGGCTTGGAGAATTTGACTTTTTTTTTTTTATACAGGTATATTACACGTTGCTACTTTACACCCTACGTGTAATGGCCGACAGTCTTGTTGCGCTTGAAGAATACGATCGGCGATTTATTATTTTTTTTTTATCACTCCATATCTTATTTTCGCGAGATTAAACGGGCGCGCGTCTTTAAACCGATTTATCAATGTCGGGTTCGAATTCTATTCTATATAGTTCGATGGCTATATCAGTGAGCGAAGTATCGATCTTCCGATCTGTTGCTGATCTGAAAGTCAGAGTTTTATTGTTGCGAATCTCATGGAAATATCTTATATCAACTATTGATCACTTCAGCATCTCTTTTGTTGTCCGTAAGTCATAACGTGCTTGAGAATCCTAGACAGCCAAGACACCAAATACGCTTGACTGCCTGTTCGGACTATCAAAGAGATTCCCAACGGATATTGCAAATACGGTGCAGTGCATTTCCTCGGATGCATCGCTTCGGTGCATCGGTGCATCGGTGCAACCATTCAAAGGCGTAGGAAGTTAGACACATAAAAATTCATCTTAAAGATAGAAAAGTCAAAGTAAGATCCGCGCGAAGACAAATAGCAAAGTTGAGTAAAAAAAAAAAGTTAATAATTTTCAAAAATATTTTAACATCCTGTACACGTAGTTAGCTTAGGTCTTGTATACATATGTGTAATCTCGAGTTCAGAGGTAGTAACAGGGTCGGATGATGAACTGCCTATACATTCCTAAGGGTCAATGTCGATCACGTGCCCTAATTAATCTGAAATTCTGAGACGGGGTTCACGGAGGGTCACGACCCTAGTCGAGATCGAAATTGAAATTTCGGCAAACACAGGTAATACCGACTTAATCGAAAAGTACAGGAAATCGGTGCAAGACTTGATTTATCTGGACCGAAGATAAATAAAGATTTTCGGTTCTCTCGTGTTTCCCATTCGTTTTCCTAGAATCTCAATGCATTTCCATTTGGCACGTACTTCGTATGTGAATGCACGCGAACGAACCAATCTTCGTATAAGCATTGAATGAATGGAGCTCTTTGAAAAATTTCTCATAAAAGTTATTCTCACTCGTGTGGAGAATTCAAAGTGCACGTCTCTCCCACGTATTTACGTAACGGCCACGCTCGATGAACTCCGACGGAGCGATCGGTGAAACGATTAACGGAACGATAGCACGAATTTATCGTTGTCAATGTTTGGCGGGTCGTGCGCATGCGCCAAACGGTTTACCCGACAGTTACCGGCAGTTTCCAAAAAATACTACGTGACGCACGGGACAGGCTCAAATAATCCGTCGCTGATTTTACGTAACAGCAAATAGATAGAGGTCAAATTGAATTAAAAAATTTTTATTTTTCAAAAAACATTTCGACGTTCGGTACGAGCAATTAATCTTACAGCAACAAAATAAATTGTCACTCTTGTATGTAAATATTTGTCTCCGTGACATTTGTTTCGAGCATTTACCCAATTTCGAATTCTATTTGCAGATCAAGTACAGTCGACAACACAAGTTCATATGTGAAAACCTATAACGAAACTCTCTCGTACACGCGGTAAACTCCCGATGCACAGGGAGACCTAACGGGTTAGCTGGCCGCATAAATTAGCCCAGTATTCCACTTGCCTTGTAAATGCAACACAGCGTAATAACTAAGCGTTATTATAGGTGCTACGTGAAAACGTGAAAACGCTACTTTTCTAACGTGGCCCAGAACATCAAGCACGTAGCGTAAAAGAGTGCCCTTAAAATGTTCAGACTGGAGCTTCCACTTTTTTTCACCATGAGCGTAATAATGTTTTTCTGTTTTTGAAAAAGAAAAAAAAAAGCAAGCAGATACGTTTTTCCTGACACGGAGCATCGAGTTACCACGAACAGGCTATAGGTACGGTAATTTAAGAAACTTAATAAATTTTTTTCTAACAATATTCTCTATCCAAGATAACACGAACGCTTATCGACAGGACTCGTGTTTATCCCCTTAGTCACTCCGGGTCTTTGACTGCACAAGGGGAAATAAACTAGAGTTAATCAGACCCTTAGAGGAAAAAAAAAGAGCCAAGATACCCTCTCGCGGGTTGGCCTGTTTTACGTTTCTATATGCTTCCACGTCTTTCATCCTGTGTAAACACATAAGCAACTTATCATCCCCGCATATATCTATATATACACACAGCAGCCCACACGTGCCAAGGGATGAACTTCCCTGTATGAGTTTAACGTTAACACATGTCGCTCCTGAGAATTCAGTAAACCGCCAGTTTTTGACAAAGGGATGACATGAATTATTCATCCCTAGACAAAACCGCCCTTTAAACGCATACGCGCCCTGTTATACAAATGAACTTTTTCTAACGTCCATCAGTTATTATTGTTATTATAAAGTTACATAACTTATTTGCTCGTGCATTAAAAACAATTTTTGTATATAGAAAACTTTGAGTACATTTAAATAAACCCTCTGAGCCTATTCAACTTTGTAATATATGTATATGAGGCTGGTACAGGTTACAGGGTGATTCCCGTCAAAGGGTCAGGAAGTTAGGTCAAAGTTTAAATGTCAAAGTGAAACTCCCTTGATCATAGAGAACTGACGAGGCTGTATACGTGGTAAGAGCCAATTCATTTGGTGTCTTCGATTTGATACTGTTCGCGATGCGAAATGATGGAAAAAATAAGAGAGAGGAGAGGCTGTCAGAGACGAGGATGAAGGAGATACTCGAAGTATGAAATATCGGATTGATTTGACATGCGTGTATCACATGGCACTGGCGTCGGGAGTCATAAGATATGTAATCAGGTTAGTCTGCGGTTCTCGTGCTCATTTGCAAAGTCCCTGCTTGTCTCTTAGGTATTAAGTAACGAGGCAGCTGCCACACGTGTCTCTCGGTCGTTTCTGGCTAAACTGGCTACAGCAGTAAAATGCGAATAAGATGGTTCGGCTGTCTGGGAACTTTGACGAGCGAGGGCAACGTCGAGTGGAGGATGTTTCCATTAATTTGCTAAACTAAATAGATTCAATCGCGCGTAAAATTCGAGTTTGAAATTTCGAAAATGAAATTAGGCTAACTTTTGTTTCGACCGGGTAAAAGCAAAATTGCGTACATACGTGCCATAAGTACTGTTCGAGAAGTTAGCGATCATGGGGGATACTTAATCGGCGACTACCTCGATAGCATCAATGTTTATAATTTCGGGAGAGAATCGAAGTACGAGATAAAAGGAAGCCGGAAAGCCTTAAGAGATTGGTTAACCGCACTTCCGGTCGAAATGGCTGACCGATATTTCCTGGCTCACTCGCTCGCCCGTTCGCTCGCTTATTCGCTGTCTGAACGGCCAGTGTTAAAGGTGAAGCTCGGTGAAATCTCTTTAACAAAGTAAATTAACTTAAATTACGTAAAAGCATTCCGAATTGACGTTCATCCCGTAGCTGGACAAAGGTGGTCTCAGGGGAGGTAGGGCTAATTAAATTGTTTTTAAAGCACGTAATTTTGGCGAATGCGCCTATGAATATTAATTCTGATAAATTAGTTTCGTAAGCAATTTTGCGTGAAAATATTGCGTGGGGGGTTTGCGAGGCGTCGCGACGACCTGGCCCCATCGAGGGTTGAACGGACGCCCCTGGCAATTCCGTCTGAATAATTCAGTGCTTGAATTTTTCACGCAGTCTTACCGAAAATTGAGGACCGGAATCGTATTAAGATTTTCTTTTTTGACCCTCGGGTGCGTCCGCCACTCTTCTTCGTGAACGTCACGGGGGGACCCGTGTTATCTGGAGCACCGGGAGATAACGGTCAACAACGAATGTAGCTTCAACCCTAT